TGCCGAGTTCACGAAGTGAATTGGCGTGTTTTACAACGTCGTTGCCAAGCGACGAAAACCCGACCCCGATGGCGATGGCAAACACCGGGGGGGGCGGCTTGTTTTACAACATCGTTGCCAAGCGACGAAAACACAACCCCGATGGCAAACACCGGGGGGGGCGGACCGAGGGGTTGGACAAAAAGGAAATCAAACGAACGTCGAGGATTCGGGCCTTTTCCTGACCTCCAGAAGGTGTCGAGGATACCAAGTGGACTACCGGGGCGAATAGGAAGTAGTGGTTGTCCGTGTGAACGACGAACGATTTTGATATCAACAACGTTCAACCACTGCCTACCGTGAACAAGGGTTCACGCTACAGATGAACAAACCAGCTCTATCTAGACCGTCAAGCAACATGCACGACAGTTTCTTCAGGTTCACTCGAACCTGACACAATACACGCCGGAACTTTTGCGTTATGTCGTCCCCACTTTCTCATTGGAATGACTTGCTTGTCATTCGGGGAAAAAAGACGGTGCGTACCCCCCTCGGCCCCAAACAGTGCCGAGCGCTACAGCCAAAGAGTGTGTTCCCAAGCGAACAAACTTAAGCTCATGGGTGTGTGTCGTCAGAGACTTCACGTGACTGTAGCTGTGCGTTCGTATGCCGTCTGCAATGTTCTCGTCCCCACATCAATCCGTCACCTTCTGACCGCCCACCAATTGGGGCGCGGTGGGGCTATCCTTTCCGTCTATCAAGTAACGATTCTGAGCGGAGAGCCATCAATGGTAAACACAAATGATTGCCAGGTCCACGTCAGGGCGATGCTGTCTATCTATGGTTGACTAGATGGAGGGAGTGACGTGTCCAGCACCATCCCCGACTGGCGCGACACCGATTTTTTTTCTTGTCGAACCAAGAGATTCACACGAAGAACGCATGACTATATCGGGGAAAATACTAGGACTCACGTCAAGGATGAAAATCCACACTGTCTTTAAGGGAAGCACCCTACTGTAGATCGCAGAGTATGGAGCTGAAAACCAACGGATACTTCTTTTTCCACGCCGAAAATCGCCCGTGCGTTCAGAAGGTGAAAGCCCGAGAGGAAATAATTGTGGGCACGGCGGGTCAAATATAGAATTTTTTCCCTCCATAAGCATTTCTTGCGCACAGTAGAACACCGTAAGCGAGTTGCGATACATGGATGCCTTTGTCACATACTTCGGTGCCAGTCCGATTGATGTGACTGTTATTGTTTTAGAAGAAGACTTTCACACGATCTCTGAACAGGAGCAAGTTCATCAACTAATGCTCAAACCGCTGGCAGCCTTCCACCATTAGGGGCTGGGGGGGGGTATAGTATATATGTCGTAGGCCAGTCCTCGGTCAAAGACTATTTAGGACGCGGTGTCGGCGGCGGCAGCGGAGGCGTTGACGAGGAGGGGGGAACGGCCGCCGGCATACGCGCCGCGCTGGAACGGCAGCCGTCGGCGACGGCGATGCGGGGAACGGCGGCGGAGCGTTGACTCGGGTGGACCGGCGGTGCCGATGCGGGTTTCCTCAGCGCGCCGTTGGCGACGCCGGTGATCGATGTGAACTGCGAGCAAGACGTGCGAGTTGCTCTCCTCCAGCTGAAGGGAAGGGGAACGATGCACGGTAACGAGGTGAGGCATGACCGTCACGATATCTCTCATGGCGGGGTGAAGATTGTCGCGGGGCAGGCGGCCACCGTGTCACCTCTTCCCTCCTCTCCCACCCTTCCCTTTCTCCGCAAGGGATGAGACGTGCCTCTTGTGAGGCCCTCCGATACTGAGCGATGCCGCCGCTGCTGATGCGGCGGCGGCGGCGGCGGGCGCGGTGGCGGTCGCGGATGACCCCCGGGCACAGCGGCACGAATACGATCGTTTCGACAACCGCTGTAGTTGGAGCCTGCCTGATGAAGTCGGAGGGGGCGGCGGCGTTGGCGACGGCGATGTCGGCCAGAAGGAGGCTGGAGAAGAAAACGTCGCCAACATTGAGGGGAAAGGGGCTAGTGGCGGGCGAGCTTGAGCTGAACTGTTGGGTCATATGCCGCGTAGGCCACCGCTTCCGGAGAAGCATGGACACTTCCGCGCGGATACCCGGGGTGGGCTACAGGCGATACGAGGTGTCCAGATGCATGCGGGCGTTGTCGCCTTCCTGCCGTGATGGGGAAGGCGGCTCGGGGGGGGCGCTCACCGGCGGAATTGGCGTCGCCCCCCGCCGGGAGCACGTGCTTGTTTTGGAACACCATGCTCGCTTCGTGCGGTTGCACCGTACGTAGGAGACGAGGGCCTGTTTTTCGGAATAGGAAGAAGTAGAAGTTCGGCGATTCTTCGTGGGTTACGCCGCGCAGTAACCGGTGGTGATTTGACTTGCTCCCTGCCATGGCTCTACGACACCATAGTTCCGTAATGCAAGGCACTTTGGGTACCGGAGGTTCGCAGATGAGGAGGTCGGTATATTTTTTGTCCCCAAGCTCAACACGCCGCTTATTCGCTCGGCACGCAAACCACACGAAACGTTGGGGGCACTTTACGTGTGCATTTGCATACACTAGCACGGGCACGCGATTAATCCACGGCCAATAAAAGCCATACTGGTCCTGCGCTTCCGTGTCGGATACATGGCGTGTACGCGGCGCTCTTTTGACTCCCGTTTGCTGCTGCCTTGACCAGAAAAGGCGGCCTGGCGCGATATACCGAAAATCGGAGCGGATTGATAGAGCGGTTCCCTTCCTGCGCCATGCGCGCGAACAGCTGAACGAAAGGGGATATGACTTTCGGTCTCGCTCTAAAAACCAGTCGTTATTTGGACTCCGAATACCACGTCCTCATGACGGAAACAAGAGAATTACTGCTGTTGTAGCAAGACCAACGGCTAGATCACAGGCGCAAGACTCAACAACAATGCCATCGCGCTTGCAGGTTCCGATCAGGCACATTTTGCACCAGGTTTGAAGGTCCTCTACTTTGATGGGGGCTCAAATTGAATGTGCCAATCAACGCAGAAAAGTCGATGACACCTATGACTGCACACCCTCGACCTTCCTACTCAAGGTATTCCACATCTTCCCGTCCCGACGAGTGCAGAAAGGAGCGAGGATTCCGGAAGAAAAACCGGCCTAAACCTCTAAAACCACGCAGCATTTCCCCCAGCGGCGCCGAGGGGACGAACAAGTGCATTTTAGGGAGGAGTCGTCCGCGTGAACTCTCACCATGCGCAGGCAACTTTGCCACCAAGACTCGCCAAAACAGAAGAGCAGTGTGGAGTAGCACCGCCACGGACAAAACAAAACTTCAATGCTCAACTCCACGTCGAAACACACGTTTGGGAGTAATGAGTGCAACTGCATCCTCTCTTCACATTTCCCAATGTAGATAAAACACAGTCTTTGACGCACGTATGGTAGCCGTGCTAAGATGTCAAAGCGCCATCGACACCTCCCCGTGCACACATTTCAGCTTAAGTACACATGCTTCGCACAGGTAAGGCGCTGTCATAGGAAGCTCAGAATCTCACGGAAGACTCCGCGTTCGTCGGGACGCTGCAGGAGCCACACCACCGGGCCCTTAGAACGAATGTCTCTTGCTTGACCACCATCAATGGTGTCACCAGCCTGCACCGGATTATCTGGGGCCGTTGACACCCTCTGTTCACTGCCCTCCTGGCGCGCAATCGTAATCGGTGTTCTCCGTCGCCAACCCGTCGTGAAGAGATTCGTTCTTCCCGTCCTTCCACCGTCTAGTAGACAACGATAGCAGCGACATCGAGGTACCGAGAACCTGTGTGGTATCAAGGTGCCGAGCCCACATCATCACCAACCATCCCCGACGTCCCCACATGCTAGAGCTTCTCAACATGCCACAAATGCGGTCAGCGACTGAAGTCTCCACGGCGTTTGACGTGCAAGGAAATCGCGTTGTCCCTCCCATTGACCGTCCCAGCGCCCGTCCCATCGCACCTCCCTGCCGCGTCTCGAGTCCATCTACTGCCACCATATCACACGGCGAACGGCCTTCGTCACAAAGCAACGAAGTGCTGGCATGATGCCGCAACAGCACCTCCACGGCACCCTCGTGGTTATAGAAGCAGGTAACATGTAGGGCCGATCGCCCTCCTCGGTCAACGCAGTCCACTTTTGCTCCGGCGAGAGGAAGTCGTTCCAACGGCCTACAGGCACCCTCCTAGCTGCTACATGAAGGGGTAGACATTCTCCCCGATTCTTGCCAAGATCCGCTCCGGCAGCGACCAAGTCGTCGATGGTGCCCTCTCTGTAATGATATGCAGCAACGCTTTGTTATTTTCTTCGGGTGTCCTGAAGGATTCTCCAGTATTGGAGACTGAGGCTCCAGCAGCCAGACGTTCGCGCACCATCTCCTCGTGGCCTTTTTGTACTGCGACCGACAGCGCAGTATACCCGAGATGGCCCTGCATAAGCCACCTGTACTCCAGCGCGGCCCCGACCTCGATGAGAACCTTCACGCAGCTCCGGCGCCCATTGATGGCCGCGACATACAAAGCAGAGAAAGGACGGGCGTGCGGACCGCCAACTTCACGCACTATCGGAACACGACCATCCACTTCAAGAAGGGCCAGCAGAATATCCACACCTCCCCCACCCGCGGCGAATTCCAAGAGCTTCCGGCAATGTCCCTGGTCAAGTCCTCCGCCAAAAAACGACGGGAAGCCGTCGATAGCGAGGACATGTGAAAACATTTGAAAACTTCCGCCAAGCACGGCGCCACATAGGAGCTTCAAGCCGTTTGCACGTGTCCAGAACTCCGCGCTTGGGCCCCGAGCAAGGTTTGTAGAAAGTATTTCTACATTTCCTCCTCACGCGGCGTTCTGTATGAGCCCCCATGTGGTGATCTCCGTCCAGAACTCCGATTCACTTCGGTACAGCGCATAGACATCGGAAAATCTTTCCACATTACCTCCGCCCGCAGCACTTCTTGACAGGAACCTGGTGGGATGTGTCCATAACTCTGAAATGCTCGGACAGACGCTACGGAGACTGGAAAATATGTGAAGGTTTCCTCCTCCGCGGCTACAACCAAAATATGTCGGCTGGTTTCCTGCGTCAAAAACCCCGAATCGCGAGGACAGGCTGCCGACAGTTGATCAAAGACACTGAGGTTAGCAGAACTTGCGGCCACTTCCACCGACATCCTCAGCCATTTCTGCCACTGTTGTGCATCCGAGGCCAACCGGATGGAAATGCCAAGTATCCGCTCCCCGGGGGCCTCGAAAGCAGAGCAACCGCGGTACAATCTGAGGGCGTCGTACAAATCAGGGTCTGCTGACTGCAAAAAGCACCGGAACACCTCCTTCCAACTGGACTCGGCTCTTGGCCCTTGTCCGTTTCTCTCGTGGTTCATGCGTATTAGTTTTGCTTCAAGACCACAAAGCTGTGCCCTGCAACCCATGGTTTGTTCGGAAGACAGCAAAGCGTTTGCTGGTGAGAAAAACAGCAGAATAGGTTTGGGTCAACATTTTCATGCGGTTGTGGTCGAAACGTTCAGCATATATCAATGGCGACATATTCCTATGATTCAGGCTGCGACATAGTGGGGACAAGCACATTTTGAAGTTGAAACACATTCGGGCCCCGGCGTACTTCGGAGCTGTTTGCGGCCTACGCCACTTATTTATCGGGTGAGACTGTTTCGGTGATGTATTAACTTCACGAGAGGTAGACGACCGTCCTTCACACGGACGAAACAGGGAGTGCTCAAAGAGCGGCTACCACAGCAAGGAGGGGGCCCGTGAATCATCGCGGTGCCCCCTACCAAACGAAAATCTTACCAGTCTGCGTGACACCAAATCATCCAGCACATGTATCCAACACCAATGTTCGCTGACACACGAACACCCTGCCTGGTTCTTCACGCAAGTGACTAACCATCGATGGGGCAGGAACGCCCCTGGATACATCAGAAAATACCAACATGGTAATATATGTAGGAGAAACCCAGCGTCCGGGCAAAACCCCTCGAAAAAACCCCTACCGAACTTGACCGAAATATCCCCCGACCTAAACAATCCGCGGATGAAATGAAATCTCATGTCGATGTGTTTCGAGCGACCTGAGCTGAGGGCGTTCTGCACCAACGCTATGCCCCCCTGGTTGTCCTCAAGGACCTAGATGCTGCTACTACTGGTCTCTGGGGCAACAAACGAAAGTACCGCACGCTCAAACAACGCCTCCTTGACGCCCTCCCCGGCAGCAATGTACTCGGCTTTCGTCGAAGACAAAGACACGATGCTCTGTGTCTTGCTACCATGGCTGACTACGATACATCCAACCGTCGTCGCCAACCCTGACACCGAACGCCTATCCTCCGTGTCGGCGTACCTAGCGTCTACGTACACGGCCAGCCCTAACCCCGATCCCCGTTGGTAGGTGATGCCGAGGTCCCTCGTCGCCATCAAGTAGCCGAGGATCTTGTGTATGGCACCCCAGTGCCTCTTCGCAGGGGCGTGGGCGTGGCGCGCCACCGCACGCACGGCGAACGAGACGTCTGGACGCGAGAACGTTGACACCCACATCATGCTGCCGATGGCTTCCCTCATCGGCCTCCCTTACCTTCTCGTCATCTCGCTTCGGTCCTAGGTCGACACCAGGGGAAGCAGGGATGCGGGAGGTCGATTGTACATCAAAGCGTCATGGTGTCGATGTATGCGGTTTGCGAGATTCTAAGAGTCCCAGCCTCTACATCTCTCTCCATGGCACATCCGTCAAACCATTCGCACTCTCCCAGATTTTTGGTGGGGAATTTCTTGTTGAGAGAAGCAACTCCTTGCAACCCTCGTCAGACCCAGCCACCAAATGTCATCCACGTATATCACGACANAGACGTCTGGACGCGAGAACGTTGACACCCACATCATGCTGCCGATGGCTTCCCTCATCGGCCTCCCTTACCTTCTCGTCATCTCGCTTCGGTCCTAGGTCGACACCAGGGGAAGCAGGGATGCGGGAGGTCGATTGTACATCAAAGCGTCATGGTGTCGATGTATGCGGTTTGCGAGATTCTAAGAGTCCCAGCCTCTACATCTCTCTCCATGGCACATCCGTCAAACCATTCGCACTCTCCCAGATTTTTGGTGGGGAATTTCTTGTTGAGAGAAGCAACTCCTTGCAACCCTCGTCAGACCCAGCCACCAAATGTCATCCACGTATATCACGACAATCATCACCACGAGTTCGTCTACCATCTTGCGGAAAACACACGGGTCCGCCTTGCACTGCTCGAACCCGTTCTCGACTAGCGTATCGGCAGCGTGGTACCCCCACTGCCTACCGCTCTGCTTCAGACCGTAAATCGCCGCTCAGCCTTAGCGATCTTATGCGATTTGTCCCCACACGCAGCGGGGAGCCTCAGAATAACCTGCTCGTCTAGCGTGGCGTGTGTGTACGCCTGCTTCACATCACAGTGATTGACGCTCATGCCCTTCTCGCTTGCTACCGCAAGTCCACTCAAATCCACGAAAACTCGCTGCAGTTTCTTAGCAGCTCGGGTCGACTTCTTGTTGGGGATGGGCTTGGAAAGCCCCTTCGCCGTCGAGCCCCCCAGGCACTCCCGGAGCTCGCCCACCAGCGTCGTCCCTTGCTGCTTCGCCGTGGTCTTCAGCAGCACCTCGTGGGAGTGGCCGTGCGCGCAGTGGAAATCGTTGATGTCAGCGGGGGCGCTGGACGCTTTCGCGTTGCCAGGAGCAATTGCGGCATAGGCATGTTCGGTGTGTGTGCGGAAACCGTTTTGGACGTACAGGTTACCGCATCGGGGGAAGTACACCACCTCCCCCCCCCTTCTCTCCAACTCCAACTCGTGTTTATTGAGGGTGTTGGTTTCGAACCCGTCGTCGAAGAGGGAAGTGAGAGATACTAGGTTGTAGTCTAGTCGGGGAACGTGTGCAACCCGTTTCAACAACAGGTCTGTTGTGCCGTCGCGCGAGCTAAGGGTTACCGTCACGTCGCCGTACCCAACGATGGGGAAAAAGGTTTCTCCGGGGGGGACGCGCCCACGTCGATCACACTATTCGTAACGAACGAACCCATCTGAGTTCGCGAACATGTGGGTGGTAGCGCCGGTATCGCCAAGACACCTACCCCGCCTAGCCTGCTCTACACCCCCTCGACCAACGACTTTGTGACACTCGCCTGAGATGCCACCGACCATCTGCAAATCTTCTGCCACGTCCAGTGTTGTGGCGTTGTTAGACGCCCCCCCCGCCGGCACTTCCACCACGAGCACCGCCCCCTCGGTTGGGCTCTTGCTCTTGTCGTGCCCGTAGCCCTTGCATGTCTCACATCGCACGGGCTTGCTCTCGTTGCAGTCGGTCACCTGGTGGCCCTTCTTGCCGCACCCGAAACAGCAACCGCGCATGCTACCCGCATCGCCGTCGCCGCCTCCACCGCCGCCACCAGCCTTCGCGCCACTTCCTCTCCCCATCTGGTTGCCGCCGCCGCCGCTGCCGCCGCCGCCGCCGCTGCCGCCGCCGCCACCCTTGCGGCGGCCGCCGTTGCCGCGGCCCGGCGCTCCTGCCCCACCGCTACCGTCGCTCGCGAGGAGAGCGTGGTCCGCCCTCCGCTGGCCCTTCGAGGCCTTCCTCCCCTCAGGAAGGCTCGCGTGCACCGTGCTCACGATTCTGACGATCTCGGCCCTATCCAGCGCCGTTGCTGCCTCCAACAGGAACTCGGTTGTTGGTTCTCGGGTGGGAGGGAACCAACGAAGTGGGCGAGAGCAAAGGGTGCGTCAGCGTTGAGGCCTTTTTCGCGTAGGCGTGAGTACAGCAGCTCGAGCGAGTACAGGTGCTCGATGGGGTTTCTGCTGCTGTGTGTGGGGATCGTGGCGTTGAACATTTGCTTCATGAGGGCTTGTTTCGAGCCCTGCGATTCCGGATCGTAGATTTTGTCGAGTTCCGTGAGGATCTCTTTTGCGGTCTCGCATTTGCTCGCGATCGCCTTGTCGGCTTCATTGACGATGACGATGGTAGTGGTCACAAAGTGGAACGCTTGGAGGCCCCTCTGGACCTCGTCGCTGGTGTATTGGAGGCGGTATAGCTCCGAGCTTGGCACGTTCGGGTTGCCGACAGGTGCATGTCTCTCGTTGTTGCCGATCAATTGACCGTCCAGTCCTACAGTCTTGGCCGCTTGGATGAGCGACTTTCTCCACGAGTCATACCCATGGCCGCAAATACTCAAGAGTGTATCCGGCCTACGCCACTCATTTATCGGGTGAGACTGTTCTGGTGATGTATTAACTTCACGAGAGGTAGACGACCGTCCTTCACACGGACGAAACAGGGAGTGCTGCAAGAGCGGCTACCATAGCAAAGAGGCCCCCCGTAAATCATCGCGGTTCCCCCTACCAAACGGCAATCTTACCAGTCTGCGTGACGCCAAATCATCCAGCACATGTATCCAACACCAATGTTCGCAGACCCACGAACAGGAGCAACTCATTTGAACGATCTGCTCGGGTTGCTCCAGGGTCAACGATTGAAGCGGCCGGTTTGCGCACACAAACTGTGTGTGTATGTGTGTGTGAGAGAGAGTGAGAGAGGGAGAGAGTAGCTTACTGCTATCGGAGCCACAGCCCGAGCCCTCTCATGAAAATGTCCCGAGCAAGCTTTCGTACGATTTGCAATGCCTGTAATTGCCGTTCCAATTCCAATAGAGCACGCTCGTTGGATTCGTGAAACATAAATTAAAACTATAGGATACAGAAAGTCATAGTCTTGTAGATGCGGGGCACAGACGATGCTGCAAGGAATATTGAACACAGGCTGGTTATATTGTTGCGAGACCAAAGCAGGACACGGCCAAAAACACGGAACCGCAATGCCATTCACAACAGGATTTTTGGTGATGCCAAATGTTGATTCTCACAAGTGGGGTCGGACGTGCGTTCACTTCGCTGGAAAACAACGTCAACGAAACCTTCGATGAACGTGCTCAAGGACGTGAGTTTCGCCACGCCAGCCACACAATTTCCACTTTGGCAACGATGAGTCATAGGGTACAGACACACGTCCAGGACACGGCGGTGGGTACTGAAGATATCAAATGTTTTTGCCCTGGAATGGAGGCAGCGAACCATACGCATGCCCTTGCTGCTACATGAATTAGATTTGTCACTTCGCGTGAAAGGGTGCCAATGCCCACTAACGAAGGAGACATCGGGTCGACGAAAGTTGAGCGGGCCAACGACAGTCGAGGGACTCACCTCATCCCACAATTGGATGGAAAACATGGAGTGTTCACCGGCGCCATGACTGCCGAGAAGACACACACAAGCAACCTTTAGTGTAGCTCTGGCCTTTGAGCACGACATGCGCACCAAAATCACCCAACTGGTTCTAATCCATTAACGTATTCAAATACATGCCCCATTCCCACGTATAAAGTCGGCGCTCTGTGACATGGAATGTTTTAGTATCTCGTCATGCGCTCACGCTCTGAGCGGTGGGCGATAAGAAAACATGTAACCATCGCGTAGAATACATTCTGCCGTTCACTTTCCCAATCAAACCAGCAACAGACGAGCAAGGGCTCGGCCCGCAAGTCGACCGAAACACTTGGGTGCCTACTCCCACTTCCTCAAACACAAGGGGCAAGTCGACCTCCCCATTATGGGCAAAATTCCACATATCCCATTTTATTATTATTTTGTTTGCCCTCCGACAATTGCAGATAAATGCAGACATACATAAAAAGTCGATCGTAAAGGCCGTCATGCCAAGCCAAATTAACTCGATGCCCCATAGCTAGGAATGTTTGCCTCTAAGTCAACAAAACTTTGGTCGAAACACTACAGCTGAACTCTAGGCACGAACCTTAGATGGAGAAAAACGAACAAAACCCCAACCTCATCCACCCGAAATCAAACAAATCTCGGCCCCGTCTTCCCTGGTACCCCTGACACCGTATCGAACAGAAATCCGCTTTCCACCGAAGTGGTTAGGTTAAAGCTGTCGCACGCATATTTCGGC